CATAGTGACCCTGTACAGGGTTTCTGAGGCTGTAAATCTTTACGGGAGCAGAAAGCCTCATCTTTCTCCTTCAGAACAGCTAGTAGTTTTGAACTGCTAACCTTGAGGTTAGCAGCCTGATTAGTAACCAATATGCTACCTGAGCTCCTTTTCACATGCATAAGGCTGCTGAAATACCACGGCTTGGATCAGGTGCACTTTAGACATCTTTGTTCTAAGAACACTTTAAAGAGGTTTTGTGCAGCAGATTTGCCTAATGCAATACATTATTTGATTTCTTGACTGCTGCTTCCATAAGTGTTGATAGTGGGTCCAAGCAAAATGAAGTCTTTGATAACTTCAATCTTTTCTCCATTTATCATGATGTGATTATTGTTGGTCCAGTGGTGAGGATTTTTGCTTTCTTTACATTGAAATGCAACTTATACTAAAGGCTGTGTGTGGTCTTTGATCCTCATCAGTAAGTACTTTAAGTCCTTTTTTCTTTCAGCAAGCAAGGTTGTGTCATCTGTATATTTCAAGTTGTTAATGAGTCTTCCTCCAATCCTGATGCCATGTTCCTCTACATAAAATTCAGTTTCTTGGATTATTTACTCAGCATACAGATTAACAAAATATAGTAAAAGAATACAATCCTGGTACAACACACCTTTCCTGATTTTAAACCATTCAGTGTTCCCTTGTTCTATTCAAATGACTGCTTCTTGGTCTCTGTACAGGTTCCTTATGAGCATAATTAAGTGTTCCAGAATACCCATTCTCCATGATGTTTTCCATAACATGCTATGATCAACACAATCAAAAGTCTTTGCATAGTCCATAAAGCACAGGTAAACATTTTTTCCCCTTTTGGTTTTCTAATTCCGGGTCTTAGCACCAAAAGGGGAACCAAAAGGGAGACATGCTCAGCATTTCTCAAGCTGAGGGAACTGAAGGAAAAATTCAAGCCTTGACTTGCAATATTGAAGGATTTTATGGGCAAAATGGATTTCCTGGTGTGGTGCTGTGGACTAATATACTGGACTGCAAGGTTGGTTTGATACGCAATGTTCAAACTCAGCAGTCACTTACTTCTTGGACACCCATATAGGGTTGCTATGGGTCGGAACCAACTCAATGGCACTTAACAATAACAACAACAAATGGGCAAATTATTGAATGATGCAGAAAGCATCAAAAGAAGATGGAAGGAATATACAGAGTCACTGTATCAAAAAGAAATGGTGGCTGTCCAACCATTTCAAGAGGTAGCATATGATCAAGAGCCAATGATCCTGAAGGAAGAAGTTCAAGGTGCACTGAAGACATCGGCAAAGATCAAGGCTCTGGGAATTGATGGAACATAAATTGAAATCTTTCAAAACAAACTAATGCGACACTGGAGGCACTCACTTATCTATGCCAAGAAATTGGGAAGACAACTACGTGGCCAAATGACTAGAAGAGATCCTTATTTGTACCCATTCCAAAGAGAGGTGACCCAACAGAATGCAGAAATCATTGGACAATATCATTAATATTTCATGTATGTAAAATTTTGCTAAAGGTAATACAAAAATGGCTGCAACCATATATTGACAGAGAACTTCCAGATTTCCATGCTGGACTCAGAAGAGGATGTGGAATGAGGGATATTATTGCGGAGTCAGTGGATCTTGGCTGAAAGCAGAAAATACCAGAAAACACCCATGCTTTGTTGACTACACAAAGGCTTTCAACTATGTGGATCATAACAACCTATGGACAACATTATGGAGAATGAGTATTATGGAATACTTGATTGTGGTCATGAGGAACTTGTACAAAAACCAAGAGGCAGTTGTTTGAAGAGAACAAGAGAACACTAAATGGTTTAAAATTAGGCAAGGTGTGTGCCAGGGTTGTAGTCTCTCACCATATTTATTCAATCTAACGATATACAGCTTTTCCACCATATCTTTCCACAGTTGTAGTCAATTTGATTTCTGTGCATTCCATTGGTGAAGTCCACGTGTAAGGTCATCTTTTTATGTTGTTTAAAAAAATGTATCTGCAATGAATAAGTCATTGGTCTTGCAAAATTCTCCAGCATCATTTAAATCACAAAGGTTATATTTTCCAACAACTGAACCTTCCTCTTTGTTTCTAACCTTTGCATTCCAATCCCGAGTAATTATCAACACATCTTGATCGCATGTTTGATCAATTACAGATTGAATAAATTGGTAGAATTCGTCAATTTAGTGGTTGGTACATAAATATGAACAGTGGTATTAGCAGGCCTTCCTTGTAGAGGTATGAATATTCTCCTATCACAGCATTATACTTCAGGATAGATCTTGAAATGTTCTTTTTGATGATGAACACAATGCTGTTCTTTAATTGGCCCAATTTTTCTACTACTTAGTACCACTTAATAAGACCTTGGCGTCTGTTTAGTCCTCTTTGAGGCATGCCTCGATGGCATTTCATTTAACAACCGCCACAGCCTTATGTGATTTTTTCCAGCTTTATCAATTTATTGCTGGACTAAGACATTAAGGGGTATTTTTCTTTTACCCCACAATTGCAACCAAAGCAGTAACTTCTGACTCTTCCCGTTTCTAAATTCAGAAAGTCGCCAGCAGATGGAGCCAGCCACCTTTATGCAGGGCTTTCAGAGGTAAGAGTAGAGCTGGCTCCCAGTGCCCCAATCACTACGAGTGTCAGACTGGGAGAGAAAGAGACAGCTTTGGGGGAAAGAGCCCCAAGTTTCCCTAACATAAAAGCCTCGAAAGGGCGCCTGCAAGAGGACCCCTGATAAAGTTCAAAGGATGTCCTACTATGATTGTTCATGTTATGGGTCTACTTGGCTAGGCTATGACTCTCAGTGGTTTGGCAGACATCCTCTATTCTGTGACCTGACAGGAGCAGCCAATCAGTTGAAAGGGAATGTCCTTGGGGGTGTGGCCTGCATCTAATATTCTGGCCAATCTTGTCTTCTCTCTCAATCCCACGCCCATCTCATTATCTTCTGACCACCATTTCTTTGAGGCCTGCTGCCTGATCTGAAGATTTTGGATTTGCCAGCTACTGCAACCCATCCCATGAGTCAGCAACCTGTCACCTGACTTACAGAGTTTGGGTTCATTTGTCTATGGAACTATGTGAGTCA